TCGCTCTCTCAAGGTCATGCCACAGCATTTCAATCGGGTTGAGGTCAGGACTCTGACTGGGCCACTCCAGAAGGCGTATTCTGTGCTGTTGCAGCCATTGTTTTGTTGAATTACTTGTATGCTTTGGGTCATTGTCCTGTTGCATCACCCATCCTCTGTGGAGCTTCAGTTAGCGGACAGATGGTCGTACGTTTTCCTGCAAAATGTCTTGATAAACTCTGGAATTCATTTTCCCATCGATGACAAACAATCCGTCCAGGCCCTGAGGCAGCAAAGCAGCCCCAAACCATGATGCTCCCTCCACCATGTTTTAAAGTGGGGATGAGGTTTTGATGTTGGTGTGCTGTGCCTTTTTTTCTCCACACATAGTGTTGTGTGTCCTTCCCAAACAACTCAATCTTGGTTTCATCTGTCCACAGTATATTTTGCCAGTAGTGCTGTGGAACATCCAGGTGCTCTTTTGCAAACTTCAAACGTGCTGCAATATTCTTTTTGACAGCAATGGCTTCCTCCGTGGTGTCCTCCCATGTACTCCATTCTTGTTTAATGTTTTCCTTATTGTAGAGGTGTCAACAGAAAATGTTAGCATGTGCCAGAGATTTCTGTAGGTCTTTAGCTGACACTCTGGGATTCTTCTTTACCTCATGCAGCATTCTGCGCTGTGCTCTTGCAGTCATTTTTACAGGACAACCACGCCTAGGGAGAGTAGTAAACAGTGCTAAACTTTCTCCATTTGTAGATAGTCTGTCTTACCATGGACACATGAACATCAGGGCTTTTGGAGATACTTATGTAACCCTTTCCAGCTTCATGCAAGTCAACAATTCTTGATCGTAGGTCTCCTAAGAGCTCTTTTCTGCTAGGCATGGTTCACATCAGACAGTGCTTCTTGAAACCAGTAAACCCAAAACAGGTGTGTGTGTTTTTTTAAGGGCAGGACAGCTGTCAGCAACACATCCAATATCATCACACTGATTGGAGTCAAGGTTGCTCACTCCTGGCTCCAATTAGCTCTGGGAGAAGTCATTAAGAAGGGTCTCACATACTTTTTTTTTCCTCCCTGCACTGTGAATGTTTACATGTTATGTGCAATAAACCATGGCAACATCTAATGTTTGTGTAGTATTATGTTCAGCAGACTGTGTTCTTCTATTGTTGTGACTTAGATGACGTTCAGAGCACATTTTATGCCCAATTCATGCAAAACTCCACGTAATCCCAAGGGGTTCACATACTTTTTCTTGCAACTGTATATGGGGGGATGAAATAACTATATGAGGGATGAATTACTATATGGGGGGATGAAATACTATATGAGGGATGAAATACTATATGGGGGGATGAAAAATACTATATGAGGGGATGAAATACTATATGGGGATGAAAATACTATATGGGAGGATGAAATACTATATGGGAGGATGAAATACTATATGAGGGATTAAATACTATATGAGGGAATGAATTACTATAGGGGGGATGAAATACTATATGGGGGGATGAAATACTATACGGGGGATGAAATACTATACGAGGATGAAATACTATACGAGGGATGAAAATACTATACGGGGGATGAATTACTATACGGGGGATGAATTACTATACGGGGGATGAATTACTATGGGGGATGAATTACTATATGGGAGATGTATTTTCAGTTTTAAAAATGTGGCTCTCAAAATAAATTTCAATCATGGTTTTGGCGAGATTTGGCTCAGTTGAAAAAAAAGGTTGCCCCCACCACTGCCCTAGACCATTCAGAGTATGAATCATTAACCACTACTCTGAATACGATCTTTTAGCCAGCTTTCTATCCATTTACATATGGATTTTTACAAGCTTGTAGACTTTACCTTACACATTAGCTGTGTGTGGGGAACTGTGTCAAATGCTTTTGCAAAATCCAAGTATACCACGTTGTATACCAAGTTGTTGTAACTTTGTAGTAATAAAGACGTCAAGGGTAGTTTTCTCCTTTAGAGACATCTCAAGATATGTTATTTCATGCTTAAGTTGCAGAGCTGTGTTTAACCTCCTCCATAACTAATAATTTAAAATTGATGGAATTTTAATTGGCAACCTCAATCCACTTCTCACAAAACACACGTTTCTGTCTCCCAATTGTCAGCTGATTCTTTATCCTGAACCCCTGTGGAATTTTAATTCAGACAATGTAATTCAAGATCTACACAGTGTTTTCAAAGTCATGTATAATCATGTGGCAAATGAGTAACTGTATCAGTACCAAAAGCAGTCAATTGATTTGGGGGAAATAATACAGTTTTCAACTTCATCTGAGTTAAATGAATGAAAACTCAGAGATACTCACTGTCTGTCTCTGTCAAATTGAGAAAGGGATCCTTCATAGCCCAAAATGTCAGTGGCATTTGTTATTGACTGTGCTTTTTTTTACCTGGCTTTTGCAATTTGACCTTAATAAAATTGTGAGGTGTATTGGCTGAGTGCTGGCATCTTTACCGAATGGCTATCGACGGTGTCAGCATGGGCCGTGCACTCCTGACTAAAGAACGAAACATATGGGTCTGGTGCTAGATGGATTTGTAACTAAAGTGTTCTGACCCAATGTGCTTGTGAACAGTACTGAGCTGCCATAACGGCTAGAGCAGGAGCAGTAGAAGGCTTGTGTGTACTGTGTACCATAAAGTTATGCATTAAACTTTAGGGTAGTTTACAAGATGTAACAAAGACACCTCCAAATTGGAAGGGGCAGACAACTGTGGGGTTATAGGGAAAAAAGGTGCCTCGAGAAAGTGATAACATTTTTTGTCTTTATCTGCAGTTAGGTTTTCTTTAGTAATCAAAATATAAATTAATATTAAATATATAATCTTTCTGACTAGAAGCCAGGCTGAAAAAGCAGCATTAAACAGCATGCTAAACAGGAAGACTAAAGGCAACCATTAGATTTTTTGATGAACGTCTTCCATTCATGTATACAAAACCAAGCAGTTATACAGTTATACTCCTGTGCTTCACAAAAGTCAGATCAATTTATGGTACACCTTTAGGGCCTATTCACCTATGTGCATTGCAGCAACATTTAGTAAAATGTGTGAGTTATGACATATCACCACAACACATGACAACAGACCTTCCTATGAGCAGGGCATTGTGGTGCTATTCATTGTCAATGGCACCCCAACATGCTGTGCACTAGAGTGCAATGCACAATGCACCACAGCACACCAAAATACGCATACTGTGTTGCTAAAAAAGTTCAAATGAATTTTTCGATCCAATGTGACAGCACATTTATGATGAACTGGCTGCCTTGAAACAATGCAAGCGAATGCGCAAACTATGACATGTAAACCAGTGCAATGGATTGCTAAAGTGTGATGCAGCCCTGAATGACTGCTATACTGACTGCAAATTACACAAAGACAACAGACACCTGTGTGTAGATATTTATTTATTTTTTTAACACATATCAATTTTTACATTGCTATTTACAGGATAACATAATATAGAAACCACTTTCCATATTTGCATATTTATTATATTATGGTTTAAAGTTACAATGTCACTTTACATCTGGCTTCTAGAGAGGCCTGTACACAATTGCAGCAGCTTTTAGCCCAAATGCTTGGCATTTCTTCCAGGACATAAGCTATGACACTCCCTGGTAGTGTGGGAGCCTGCCTGCTCCTTTACTGCCCCATACATTTCTTTTGGTCCATTACTATGATGGGCTGCCAACTGGCCAACAGGAATATGTGGGGCTGGCAAGAAGAACCTGTAACTATTAGGAAGTGCCAAACCTTTGCTGGATGAGAACGGCCCATCATTCATGTAGAGATTATGCCTGCACTCTCAGGGGAGCAATGAGCTGCTTGCTATGGGGCAGACATGTGGGCTCGCTCCTGAGCCGGGCTGTGTGCATCTATAAACACACAAAGTGCAGCTCAGCCCCTCGCGCTCCCTCCTTACAGTATTTTATTGACAGCAGCTGGAGCCAATGGCTCTCATTGCTGCCTTCATGTCCAGTGAGGAGAGAGAGAGAGAGAGAGAGCACTGCTGCTCTCAGGTACAACACTTGATTGAGATTGGTCTCAGGTAAGTATTAGGGGGAACTGAAGGGGAGTTGACCATGGAATGTTTTTTACCTTAATGTAGAGGATACATTAAGGTAAAAAAAACTGGAAACCTTTACAACTACTAAACTGCACCTAAAATAGATTGTGACCTCATCACCCCTCCTATTTACCTTATCTAATCTAAGAATGCCTTGTATTCATTGAAAAATACTGTTTTATTAATGGCAGCAGTACCTAATGAGTGAACCCATGTTCTGTGTGCAGGAGCAGGACCCAGAAGATCACAGGTATCAATGTAGTAGCCACAACTACTACAGTGATTCTCAGCTTCCCTAGCGGCCCATCTGGTCTGAGATAGTCCAAGCTGAACCAATGTAAGTATGCAATAATTCCTGGAGTTCAGCTTTAAAGTGTGAGCAGAACATAAAGCAATAATCATACTTTTGCCGTTTACCAGGGGTAGGCAACCTTGGCATGCTAGCTGTGGTGAGACTACAAATCCCATGAGGCATTGCACAACTGACAGTCACAAATAGGATTCCCAGAGGCAGAGGCATGATGGGATTTTCAGTTGGCATGCCAAGGCTGCCTTCCTCTGCTCTATAATATACTATATTCCTATTCTTACTCATGCATTTCTTGTTCAACTCTGATGTTTCTTTTACCTTCTGTCATATTATCTGGCTTAGGGACTGAACACATTCAAACGCCACATTCAATCATCTGATTTAATCACCTGATGTGTAAAAGCTGATCACACATTTTACAACTTCTGTATTCACTTGCATTAGCCTTCAGATCATAATAGTCCCTATTTACCTGCAATGAACATTACATCATCATGACTGAAATGTGAAACTGGCCTTCAGTTACACCCTACTGCAAATGTACTGCCCAAACTTGTCCTTTCCTTTTTCTTCAGGAGTCTTTTAAATCCCATTATAGGCTTTGCAGCAAAGTGAGCGCATATTCCATCCTCTGTATTATAAGAGCCGGACAACCAACCTTAAGTACTGACAATGGCACTGTACAACTCTGTCGATCTTGGTCAACAAAGCTCAGTAGATAACCTTGCTTTGCTCTGCTTAATATAATCTTCGTACGGTCATGATAAAAGTTCACCTAAAATGAACAGTAAAAATATATTAACACTAAAGCTAAGAGATAAATAATATAAATAAGACTTTTGCATGCAATACTTTTAGATAGATCAATTACATGTACTGTATAGGCAAAACTCTAAATGTAGGAAGGGCACCTTGAGAGGAATTTAGTAAGACTGGAGCAGCTGTGCAGGGCAGCCAGTCAGCTTTCATTTTTCATTTTCAGAACTTAATTGAAATAAAAGCTGATTGGTTACTATGCACAACTCCTAAAAGCTGGGTGTAAACGCATTGTTTTTTTTTTTTTTTCCTTCAGCCAGTAGGCTGAAAGAAACAACAGTAACAGATTTTCCCATCCATACAACTGAATCTTGCTGCTGTTGTATTCTGACGACGGGACTCCTCCTCTGTCAAAAGCTACTGCGGCTGATCAAATGAAGGTTTTCCAGCAGTCCCGTCTGCCAGAAGTCAATCTATAGACTGCCACACACACACAGATCAAAATTCGTCCAGTCCATGCTGAACAGGTTGAGTTTTGGTCCTTGTGTACACAGCTTAAAACACTATAAAACACCAACTAAACCATATAACTAAAGAAGCTTTTAGCACTTTTGTATTGTAAAAATATACCATATTTTCCGGCGTATAAGACGACCCCCCTACTTTTCCTGTTAAAATATAGGGTTTGGGCTATACTCGCCGTATAAGACTACCCCCCTCTTCCAACCAATCACGGCAAGCAATGTACCAGTATTTTCTGTGCACACTGCATACAAAGCCTGCTTGGATTGGGTGGGTCAGCTCTCCCTGCCTGCCCAGCCCTGCCTGTCTCCAAGATACCATAAATTGCACAGAACTGCCACAGACATTATAATATTAATAATTAATTACCGTATCTCATAGAAGTTAAGGGGACAAGGTCGGATGCAGCAGTACCATACCGGTACTTCCGAGCTGACGCTTCTGCACGTCTTCGGCAGCAGTAGACGATCACTGATCGCCATTCCTCGCAGAACTGCATGAGACGTCGGATGCAGCCGTTCAGTGCTCGATTGATCGTGACTGAAACTGTGACATGCGCAGAATCACTGTGTATCCCTTCTCTGCATATCACAGTTTCAGTCAAGCGCTCAATCGAGCACTGCTGCATCCGACGTCTCATGCAGTTCTGCGAGCTATGGTGATCCGCGATCGTCTACTGCTGCCGAAGACATGCGCAGTAGCGTCAACCCGGAAGTACGGTAAGGTTTCAGCACAGCACCCGGCGTATAAGACGACCCCCAACTTTGTAGATGATTTCCAGGGGTTAAAATGTCGTCTTATACGCCGGAAAATACGGTAGTTAATCTTTTCCTGTATAGTAAGAATAATTAAAAATGACTTCTGATTGGACTGGTTACTTCTTTGGTCTTTTTTGTGCAATTTTATTAATTAAAGCAGAAGAAGCCATGGCCTAGTAAAAATTACTGCCACTGGTGTAACAAATTTATCATTCCATAAGTAAATTGCTTGTTTTTTATGCAACAGATACACATAGAAAACTGTTTCTTGAAATTTTACACACAAATGTGAAATAATCATTCAAGATAAATTTTCTGATGCAACACAGCTATTCTGAAGTTTTCTGCCTGTCTGAATGGTTGAGGAGTTTGCTGTAAAAGTAGGGTGTTCGAGACTTCTGTAGGTATTTACACACAATCAGAAGTACTAGGATTTTAGAGAAAGATGTAGTAGTTATTTTGAGAGAGATGTCTGCTCCCAAAATGATTACCCCACCCAGCCAGGTAATTGAGTATATTTAAGTCCCAAAGGTCATTGGGAAGGTAAATGGCCAGATGTTTCAGGAAATGTTATTTCCTTATAAAAAAAGGACTTGTCTTTGTGATTTTGTACGGTGGCTAATAGTAGATTATTCATGTTGGCCACTGTGCCATATTTCTGTAGTTCAGACAATGCATTAAGTAGAGAAAATCATCAAGTCTCTCATATGCTTCAAGGTTTTAGCAGCAAAAGTCAAAGGCTTACCCTGTGCTTGGCCAACTGTGGGATTTGAGATATCTAGTTTTACCCTTATTTTACAAACCAAGGACTCAGTAAAGGCAGAAGGAGATAGGGGAGGGGCATTTTAATGTAAAATGGGAGCAAAATGCTCCACTAACCCTAACCCTTTCAATGAGAGCATTGTATAGCACCTAAAATTAGCACTGAGCAAACTGTTGGCGCTATATAAATCCTGTATAATAATATTAATACATCCATGTCCTGTCATTGGATAATGGAAATTTGTTATGCAGGGTGGTGATCAAGGAGTATTATCATTCCACAGTTATATTATGCTGTCATCATGCAATATGGCCAGCTCTTTTCCATACGCAGTGAAATAAATCAAAAACTATTATTGATGATATATTTTTAATGGTTTATATTAAGCATATCTACTGACATGTAAAAAATGTCCTATGGAAATTGTTGACTTTAACATATCTGAACAGGCAAACATAAGATCACATAGTTCCTACAAATACAAGATGACATAATAAATAAACAAAACAAGAAAAATGTGTTTTCCAATCATTTTTGCAACAAAAATATCAAAAGATATACTGTGTACTGTGGAATAGGTAAGTGAAGCTGGTATTGACCCTTTACATAACTGTCCACCAGTCTCTGATGACTAGGTGAAATTTCTGCCCACTCCTTCAAGCAACAGATATTTGTTGTTGTCTTGCATTGACTGCCCATTGAAAAAAACCCACAACATTTTAAAGGGATTTAAATTTGGTCTTTACCAGACCAGTCAATAACTCCCAATTTTTTTTTATTTGAGACATTTCTTCATGAATGCACTGGAGTGCTTCAGATCATTATTGTGTTGACAGATTAATTTCCAGTTCAGCTTCAACATTTGGACAGATGACCTCATATTCTCATCAAGCATATTTTGATATGATACAGAACTCATAGTTGACTTGACTGCAAGCTGACCAGACCCTGAAGCAGACATGTTTGCTGCAAACCAAATGGCCTGACCAGGTTCTAGAAGGCATGGCCATTGCCTATACGCAAGCTGTAATATTGCTTTGAAGAGCTTTCTTAGACAGCAAAGGCTGTTTCCTGGAACACCCCCAATGCAATTTCTTCCTGATTTTAGATGCATGAACTTTGACACCAACTGTTGCAAGAATTACCAGGTGGAGAAGGATCTGGGAGTTCTGGTAGATCATAAGCTTAATAATGGCATGCAATGCCAAGCTGCGATTTCTAAAGCAAGCAAAATCCTCTCTTGTATTAAAAGAGGTATAGACTCCAGAGAGAGATATATAATATTACCCCTGTACAAATCATTAGTAATGCCTCATCTGGAATATGCAGTTCAGTTTTGGGCACCAATTCAAAAAAATGAATATTGGAGAACTGGAGAAGGTGCAGAGAAGGGCAACCAATAAGAGGAATGAAGGAGCTCAGCTATGAGGAAAGATTACATTAATTAAGTGTTCTTACATGGCAAGACCACTTACTGTTATCTCACATATATATTCTTATTATTATAGCCAAATTTACCACCCTAACTCCTCCCACAGTTTTTAAACAACATATACAGTAATATACCGAAACGTGTGGATTGTTCCCGATTGGTGTGCTATTACTTTGTGGAACGTTTCGCCGAATGGTTCACAAAATATCGCCGTTTTTGTGGTGAAATTGGTCCCATAGGAATGAATGGCGGAATGTTCAAAACTAGAGTGGGAGCTGACAAAAGCTAGAGTGTGAGCTGAAAAATCAGGACATGATTTCTAAACTGCCATCACTCCCTCATTTTCAAGCCCACCTACACAAATCTTATAACGTTCAGCTATCCCTGCTGCCACTAAAAATGTCCACAGCTAAGCCATAGTCCTGATAGTTTTCACAATATGACCATTTGTTTGCAACTCACGCCGCCCATTGACATTCATTGAAACTCCACTCTAGCCACCTCAAATTTGAAGGGCAATATCTAAACTGCGACTGTGCCCTCATTTTTAATATTTCAGAGACATACTATGCATCAAAATGTAGGTCTGGGTCTTGTGATAATTTTTAAACTACAACTGTTTGAAGATGGCAACCGCCAGTGAAGTGAGCAAGTTGGAGCAGTTTGTTTTTAACCGCTCTACTCTGCCCTTGCTGTAGAGTGAGTTGCCATAGGAACCCAGGTGTGTGAGCAGGCAGCAGAGTGACAAGCCACTCCACCCAGTTACTCCACCCACTCCGGTTGTAGACTACTGGTGGAGGCAAGAACACTTCACACAATTTCCCCAGAAATTGTAGCTTTTCTAGTTTAATTTATTCTCTCTTGAGAAGAGGAGATTGAGGGGGATATGATCAACATGTATAAATACATCAGTGGTTAATATGGTGAACTCTGAGGTCATCACAGAGGACAAGGGGGCACTCTTTACATCTGGAGGAAAAGAGATTTAATCTCCAAATACGGGAAGGTTTCTTCACAGTAGGAGCTGAAAATGTGGAATAGACTCCCTCAAGAGTTGGTTCTGTCCAGCTCAGTGCATTGCTTTAAAAAAGGCCTAAATTCTTTTCTAGATACACATAACATAACTGGATACTAACATTTTTAGGTAAAGTTGATCCAGGGAATATCTGATTGCCTCTCAGTTTCAATTTCACAGTCCAATGTAACAAAGAGTTATATATCATATATTCTGCACTGAAACTATGTTCATAAAGAATGCTTTAGAACCTCCATCTTGTTCATGAAAGTTTATGAAAAGTTCTGTTTTTATAGTGGACAACAGAAAAATGTGAAGAAAGAACTTAAAATGAACAAATGCCCAGATAATACACACTGAAGTAAAAGCACTTTAAAACAAGTTCTCATTCATCTCTGTATCTATAAGCATGGTGGAAGAATACATTTTAAAGGTTCACAAAGCATGCATTAAAAGCTTAGCTTTTTACTATGAGCCAGCTTTCTAAATGCAGACAACCAGCACGTGTTTCTAAGCTGTTAGAAAGCAGCTTTAGGGCCTATTCTTACCAATGTGGTGGGGCTATGCTGGCAGCTAACTCAGCTGGAATGCATAGAGAAGGCAAAATGCCTTAATTCTAATGGTGTCAATTCACATAGCATTGCTGTGGTGTGCACTGAAAAAAGTACATGCAGTACTTTCTTTCACCGCAGCGGGTTGTAATGCAAACCACTGCATTACAACACCACAGCAGTGACTAGAACTATTGAACTATTGAAATGACACTCGTAACATTTCAGTAAAGTTCTGTGGGAAAAAAAAAAACTGTAAACAGTGCACTGTTTTGGGATTGGCACATCTGCACAGTCAGACAGTCTAACATGTGATCTTTGAGAATGAATAACTTGTGAAAAAGAAGCAGCTAGAGAGGACAGAGATGGCTTCTTTAAAGCTCCTTTACAGCTTGTTAAGAATATATGCCCATAGTCTGGGCACAGGTGCACTTTAAGCATGTGCATGCATTTGAATAAAACAATGTTATCAACAATGATTTAGAAAGTCCTTTCTACCTAAGATCAAATTTTAAGGGATATTTAACACAAACATGCAAACGTTATTACTTGAATTTATTTACATGGGTTTTAGTACTCCATTGTCTTTAGCATTTACTAAATAAGCACCTGAGCTTTGTTCAGTCCCCAAGTGAGATATTCTAAAGCCTGTTACACACAATAAGTCTTTTTCCTTCAACCAAGTGGGCTGGACAAATAATCTGACAGATCACTGTACTAACACAAGCAATGTTAGTACAGTGTTCTCCCCTGCTGGACTGCCCTCCCCGCCAAAACACAGCTCAGCGTCCGGAGCCATTGGCTGTCAGCGCTGATCAGATTCTGATTGGATTCTGGTTTCCAGCATACCGTTTTGACAGAACCTGGTCGTGAGACTGGCTACTGTCAGTCAGGGAGCTGTACACAAGGGCCAAAAGTCAGTCAGACAGTTTCTACTGTACCAGCTGATTTCTGCTGATATTCGGCCTGTGTATGCAGCATAAGATGGATTATGTTCTTTAAACCTGTACCTGCAATGTTCCATTACTGAACAACATCAACAGTGCTTGATCTGTCTTCAGGAAGTGCAGCAGGCACAATGTTCTGACAGATAGGCTGGGTGCTCCCCGAAGATCTCCACCCTGTAAAAAACAGCATTTGAATTACTGGTTTAGCCTGTATTATGATTACATATTGCTATGATAATAGCAAAAGAGAACCATATTTTAAACATGTATATATTTGATAACAGCACAAATTTATCAACTATAGATATAAAAAAAATTCTGTTAAACCCGGTAAAAACAGCATCAGAATTGCTGGTTTAGCCTGTATTATGACTATATATTGCTATGATATTAGCAACAGAGAAACATATTTTAAGCATGTATATATTTGATAACAGCACAAATTTATCAACTATAGATATAAAAAAAATTCTGTTAAATCAAAATGCTATTCCTTATTAAAAACAAAAAAAGCAATATACATAGGCCACCTGCCATCTGTGATCTATCATATGTTATGGTACTAACAAATGCTATCAGTAATCTCAGGAGGCCTCAGTATGTGGTTGCCAGGTTAGCTATATTAAAACACTGTAAATATGATGTATGTTATAATCCCTACAGGTACTTAAGAGAATATTCAGTTTTAATGGGAATTTCTTAATTGCCTCCCACAGTTCCTTGATAGGTAATTACAACATAACCATTATGATGTTTTCACATTTCATAATGAACTCAGATTTAACTCAGGCAATCTCATTATATCGGAATAGATGAACGGCTGCATTTCTTGCCTATTGGGAGATTTAAATGACCTCACAGGCCATCTGGAAGTTTGTGTAATCCTCATGTCATGTTCTAGATCTACCCAATGACATCCTATTATGTGTGACAAGCCTGTAACAACCCTAGCAGGACGCTTTATGACAGAGGGTATCCATGTATGCAATGCAAACCACCACAATGTGAAGAAACTGCAGTTTTATTCTGGAATTAAACATTTAACTTGAAAAGTATCAGGGAAGGCTTCTTCTACAATAGGGAAACATTGTGCAATTTGTTCATTCTGGCTGCTCATTCCTCACCTCCAACACATTTTCCTGCATGTAATGAAAAAAAAACCTGAGTATCCTCATCTTTGCTTCCAGCTTATATGGTGGGCTCCATTCAGGAAATGTGATATGTTCTTCTGAGCTTGTAGAGTAACAAACTTTTCTAAAGCAATTTGGGAAAAAGAATAGAATAATTCTCAGTTGTGTTTAGTTCATGATTCTGGAAATGTATTTATTTATGTAACACTACCATATCTTATGTCCTGAATAAAGTTAGAGATACAAGGTGGTATCAACAAGTTTCAAGACTAGTTTTGTAACATGCCAACAGATAATACCACAAGGCTGCACCTACAGTCAAAGGGATCAACGACCTTCATAAGTCAGTGTGCCAAAAGGCATTGTCCTGTGTACATCGGGAGCTGTGCAACCGGTGCTATTCTGACTATGGGTGTTACCGCATCTACTACTTCATCATGGACAGCAAGTTAGAACAAAGTGCGTGTTACAAAACTAGTCTCGAAACTTTTTGATACCACCTCGTACATAAGGGTGGGCAATACAGATAATATAAAGGCATAACATATTTACATTGAGAAGCATGTACAGTGGTACCACAGAACACACATCCCAATAAACCCCAAGATACATAGATATGAGGTCATGTTTTGCAAGTTTACAATCTAGGGGAATAAAGTGTAGAACTGACAGATGAAAGAATAAGTAGGCTGTGTATACGGAAAAGGTATGTTCATCAACAGATTGTGTGAAAAAGTAAATAGTGCGAGAACATTAAATAAAGAATATGTTTTAGGTCAAATTATATGCTTTCCTGATACTGATTGTAAGGGTGTGTTTGAAGGCTTCAAGGACTGGAGAATGCTGAATTGTGTATAAAAGAGAATTTTAGAGATATGAAGAGACTAATGAAGTCTTGGATGTGAGGAAGGAAGAAAGAAGTGGAAAGGAGAAGAGAAGATATTTTGCACAGTGCATAGGTGGTGCTTGAGATGGTATTTAAAAATTTGTAAAAATTAGTAACAGCATATTTTGGGGGTGGGGGAGAGATCAGAGAGATTTTGCAAGTAAGTCTCAGAATTTTGAACTCTGTACATTTAACGGCATTTGATTTTTAGATGTTAGTTGGATTATTTGGAAGCAGAGTGGTGACTATTGATAAACCAGGCAAATAATGATGAAGGACAAAACTTCCTATTATATTTTGGATAGAGTGGGTAGGTCCCTTCAGACCTGGTATATATTTTAGGGAGGAACCCCACGCAAAAAATCAAGAAAAGAAACGTGTGAAGTCTCCACCAGACAATTATCTAAGCATGCAACCCTGCAGTCTACAAAGGGGGGGGGGGGAGTGAACATGCACCCCTTTCTGAACCACACCAGGCCACATGCCATCAAAATGAAGGATGCCCCATTGGCAAAGCACCTTATCCCCTTGCTGATGAGGACAAAGGCCTCTTTCCCACAAACCTGGGCTGGTGTTTGTGGGAGTCTGCTGGCAGGGCCTTATTGGAATTTGGGAGCCCCCGATAATAATAAGGGGACCCTCAGATACTGGCTCTGGATGTGAATGAGTAAGGGGTACACAGTACCCCTATTCATTCACATAAAAAATTTAGTGTGTATAAAAACACATGGTTTTTGACAAGTTCTTGAACTAAAACCAGAAACCAAAAACAAAGTACTTCCATTGTTAATCACATCATCCAGCCATATAGATCCACATTAATCATGATACCTGCCACCCACTGACCCTCTGTAAAAAAAAAAAACACAAACTTCCTACACATGTCTGTTACATCACTTCCCTTGGTCAAATGACATCTTTTGGTCCCTGACGCTAAAATGTAAACAAAGTGCAAACTTCTTCCATATGGTCATGTCTATATTTGGTTATTGATTTCCTTCAGAAGACCTCACCCCTTTACTTATTTTAGGTGTCATCCACTGGAGATGTAATTTGGTTGGGGGAAGGAGAAAAACTTGCTATTACATATGATATTTGGCTTCTGCCAAATAGACTAAAAGTCTGGAGTTCAGAAAAACGCTTGAACAAGCAGTGTTATATTCAGACTGAACTGGAACCTCAAGATTTTTGAGGTGGATCTCATGCTTTTTTTCTTGATTTTTGCTTTGGTTTCCGCATAAATTCCAGGGGGGAGCACCAGCCCTTTTTTGTAGGAGTCACAGAGATAACTCCCACTCTGGTTTTTTTGTATTCCTATCTAGAATAAGGGTGTGGTTTAAGATTAAGAGAATCTCCAGCCTCTTTGGTTACCAACAGAACCCATCAAATTGAATTTTAATAGCAAATGTTTGATTTGGTACATGTTCCTAAAGGTAGAAAATAGCCATTACTGTTTTGTATCATTTGGCTCCCATTGACTTCAATGAAGTTCAGATTTGGTACCTGAACTTTATCAATGTTTGCCAAACATGCCCCGAACAAACGCAGGTACATTCAGCTCATCACCACTGAAAAAAAGTGGTAAAAAAAGCGAAAAGCAGAGAATCAATCAACAAAACTGAAACATGAGTGAATGTTTCTTCTTCAGCCAGTTTGGATAAGTGTGAGATAGGGCGGAAGCTGCTGAGGGCTGACAGGTCCAAAGAAAGATTTTGTATATTGGTGTCATGACTATGTTTTTGAGAACTGGAAAATATCAGTAAAAAGGCATAGATTAAATAACGTAGAAATATAATATGTTAATGTTGAAAAGAAGGAGAATTCAGACAGATGCAGACAGGCAAGATAGCAAAATAACAGGTATAAATATGAGACTTGAAATTAAAGCTAGGGGAAGGCTTGAGCAGAAACATCAGGTAGCATCCCTTTTTAGATGTTATGAGTTTGTTTTGTACAATACGTGGCAAAATATGAAATAGATATTATAGTTTGCGTGGCTAAGTGAAAGAGTGGGTGATTGCTTACTACATGAGAGAGCTACCTACGTAATTACCTAAAGGTATATTTAAAAGGCGGATACATGGATGTTTTACGAAATCACTGTTAGGAGAAGAGAACCACTGCATCTGTCTGATGGAGATCAAGCTAGTTGGACCAGACATGTGGACAGAATGAACCTCAAAAGTCAGGAGAAAAGGAAGGTACAGGAACTATTTAACTGAATGAACAAAGATCAGATCAGAGGATGTGCTAGCTCACCATCGTTTGTTATCAGTTCCAGAGGTATAGCTAAATTGTAGAGCTCTATATGAGAGCATTGCAAGGAAGATGGTTAGAGAGATTAAGAGAGAGAAGCAATGTTTCAGTGAGTTCCAGAAATGTCTGAATTGTTTGAAAAATATACTTACTGTGTATATGGGGAAAGAACAATATGTGTTCCATCGCTCAGTAGTACCCCTGTACAGTCATCAGAAAGCTGGTAGCCAAAGCCATATTTATTAGAGTAATCCACCCACTTGGTCACCCATAGAATAGGGAAATTCACCTGCTTTGTGGGATCCAAGTCACCTTTTAAATGAAAACAGCAAGGTCAAGGGCAATTCAAACCATAAGCAAGTTTTCTTTATAATGGGCATTTTTGCAGTTCACGTTTTTATCTTCCTTTGTGGTTTAACAGCAGCCCTGGAACACCATGGGGTTAATTTACTAATTTTGCAAGAGAAGTTTTATTTTCCCATAGTATTGAAATTTCACTTTGCAAGAATACTCAATGTACAAGGAAAAAAAAAAAAAAAAAAGCTACATATATACTTGCACAGGATTGGATGATCAGTCATCAGAGCTTCACCTTGAACACTAAGCTCTGAGGAAAATTCCCTTATAAAGTGCAACTTCCCATGCACAGTGAACAGGCTATTTGGCTTTAGTAAATCATACTCTGAAAGGTCTAGGGTTGTCAGTGGTGTACCCTAAGGTTCAGTGTTGGGACCCTTACTTTTTAATATATTTATAAATGATATAGGGTCTGAGATTAAAAATCCCATTTCATTCTTTGCAGATGACACCAAGCTGTGCAGTGGAATAATGTCCTTACAGGATGTCTCCAACTTACAAGCCGACCTCAATATACTGTTTAATTGAGCAACTATGTGGCAAATGAGGTTTAATATTGATAAATGTAAGGTGATGCACTTGGGGGCTAAGAATATGCATGCATCATACATACTAGGGGGGGAGGGGTACAACTGGGGGAATCAATGTTGGAGAAGGATCTGGGAGGCCTGGTAGATCACAAGCTTAATAATGGCATGCAATGCCAAGCTGCGGTTTCTAAAGTGAGCAAAATCCTCTCTTGTATTAACCAATAGCTGCCTGGCCAATAGCCATTTGGCGGCCGGCAAAATGCTGTAGATTTCATGGGTGGACGCCATATGGCGTCCTCCCGTGCATGTATTAAAGGAGGTATAGACTCCAGAGAGAGAGATATCATATTCCCCCTGTACAAATCATTAGAAAGACCTCATCTGGAATATACAGTTCAGTTTTGGGCACCAATTCACAAAAAGAACATTGGGGAACTGGAGAAAGTACAGAGAAGGCCAGCCAAACTGATACGAGGCATGGAGGAGCTCAGCTATGAGGAAAGATTAGAGGAACTGAATGTATTCTCTCTTGAGAAGAGGAGATTAAGGGGGGATATGATGAACATGTATAAATACATCAGTGGTTCATATAGTGAACTCGGTGTAGAGCTATTCACCCTGAGGTCATCACAGAGGACAAGGGGGCACTCTTTATGTCTGGAGGAAAAGAAATGTAATCTCCAAACATGATAAGGTTTCTTCACAGTAAGAGCTGTAAAAATGTGGAATAGACTCCCTGTAGAGATGGTTCTGGCCAGCTCAGTGGATTGCTTTAAAAAAGGCCTGGATTCTTTCTTGGATACACAGAATATAACTGGTTACTATTTATAGATAAAGTTGATCCAGGGAATATCTGATTGCCTCTTGGGGGATCAGGAAGGAATTTTTTTCCCCTGCAGGAGCAAATTGGATCATGCTTTGCTGGGTTTTTTTGCCTCTGGATCAACTGTGGGTGTAGGATAATAACTTTTTTTTTTCCTTTTTTTTAATGGTTGAACTTTTGTCTTTTTTTCAGCCAGACTAACTATGTAACTTTATAACCTCCATGTTTGGGTAGTAAAATGAACAGGTTTAGTATTTGCATTACTGCATATGTAATATTTACAATTTACAAATTGTATTGACTGATAAGGTGGTTCCTTTTAGCGCTAAGATTTATGTTTGTGAAGATGGTTTGAAATAGATGCATAGGAACTAATTACAGGATGCTTAGGACCTAAGCCAAGTTAAAGTTAACCTGTGAACATATAAATATTAAGAACTGCCATTGCTGATCTGTTCTTTAAAGCAAACATTTTCCTTTTGATCCTAAGCTTTGATCTTTAATACGGAATATTGACTGAGCTAGAGGAAGCATGCAAGATGGCAGTTCAGATTTTTCAGACTTCATTGCCTGCTAATTTGCTGCATGACAGCAACTCACTAGGCTCACTACTTGAAGTCAGGATAAGTATGACAACCACAGAACATGCATATTTAAAAACAAGTCAACAATTGAAGCTGCTATAGTTCTCTCATCATAATTTAAATGTATTGTTGGCAATAGCTTTGACAGGTGACTCTTTTAAAGGGTCCATTGCATTACTTTTAACAGATACAAAATGATGAAACGACAGTAAAATCTCAAAGTAGAAATTACAATTATAACTAGAAAAGCTACAATTTCTTGGGAATTTGTGTGAAGTGTTCTTGCCTCCACCAGTAGTCTACAACTGGAGTGGGGGGAGTAGCTTTTGTCACTCTGCTGCCTGCTTACACACCTGGGTTCCTATGGCAAAACAAACTGCTCCAACTTGCTCACTTCACTGGTGGTTGCCATCTTCAAACGGTTGTAGTTTAAAAATTATAAATCCTACACCGAAGAGCTTTATATTGTGAGAATCACAAGACCCAGACCTACATGTTGATGCATAGTATGTCTCTACAATATTAAAAATGAAGGCACAGTTGCAGTTTAGAAATTGCCCTTCAAATTTCAGGTGGCTAGAGTGGAGTTTCAATGAATGTCAATGGGCGGCGTGAGTTGCAAACAAATGGTCATATTGTGAAAACTATCAGGACTATGGCTTAGCCGTGGACATTTTTAGTGGCAGCAGGGATAGCTGAACATTATAAGATTTGTGTACGTGGGCTTGAAAATGAGAGAGTGATGGCAGTTTAGAAATTATGTCCTGATTTTTCATCTCCCACTCTAGCTTTTGTCAGCTCCCACTCTAGTTTTGAACATTGTGCCATTCATTCCTATGGGACCAATTTCACCACAAAAACGGCGATATTTTGTGAACCATTCGGCGAAACGTTCCACAAAGTAATAGCACACCAATCGGGAACAATCCGCACGTTTCGGTATATTACTGTCTATGTAGTGTAAAAACTGTGGGAGGAGTTAGGGTGGTAAATTTGGCAATAATAATAAGAATATATATGTGAGATAACAGTAAGTTGTCTTGCCATGCAAGAACACTTAATTAGCATTTTTGTTTTTACCTGGTGTGATGGTGAACAGGAAGTTTTTCAATATATCAGTGACATCTTCCACCATTTTCTCTACCATTGGCTTTCTCTGTTCTGCAGAATAAGAACGCAACATAGAAATATGACAGAATTAAAAAAAAATTATACATTGTACTTCAGTGGTATTGCTTTAAATGTGTATGGTATTAGATGTAAGCTGGCTATAGATGGATTGCAATTCAGCCAGTTCAGCAGGGCTGGTCGAATTTAAATCCATGTGTGGCTGCCACCACCCGATAGATGTTAGTGAGTTTACTTCTCCATCCTGCTTGCTTGTGTGGATGGAGGAATCTCTTGGGCTGAATAATAAATAAAAGACCCATTCTATGACCAGGTTTTACACCGTACATATAAAAATTTTAAATGGGCATGTTTTGTCAAAACCAGTTTAGTGAGGCTTTAAATTCTTTGGAAGGGGGTAATCTACTAGTGCAGTGAGTCTATGTTTAAATAAATGTAATTAGGCAGGTTAATTAAGAACATCTTGTTTCTGCACATGGATGTTTTAGGTGAGCATAGTATAATTTTACTTATCTATCCCCATTATCTTAGAGAAAATGTACAGTATACATTTCTGGTTAATTTCAAGTAAAAGTATAACTAAAGGCAAAACATTTTTTTGTTTGTTTTGGACAGAGTGGAGAAGGATTATAACACCTAATAGGTTTTTATTGCTGTCTGTTTCCCAATTAGGGAGAGTCACTTATTGGAATTATATTATGCTCACCTAAAACATCCATGCCCTCTCTATTTGTCCTGTTTTCCATTATCATTGAAAGTGAAAGTAAAATAATATCACAAATTTTGGGTTGTTCCCAGAAAAGTAAAAGTAGGGGAAATCTTCCAGTGGGGACACTAGTTCTGGTGAGCCCAATGTATTCCTTTAATTTGTAAGGATTTTCTCTCACCTCTTGTCTTGGCTATACGACAGCAAATGATGGTAAATCTCCCCAGTGGGACATAGATGGCAAAAAAAATCTGACAGGGGTTATACTCTGCTTTAAAAAAAAGGTTGTGGCAATCTACAAAACATGTATGGAGCTGCAATCAAGGCATAATCTACTCGTTCATGCAACTTCTTACTTAAATACCGTATTTATTGTTTTGCAAACACTGAAATGGACATTCAATACCCCTAACCCTCCCTAATCCCCCCACAAAATGTGCGTGTGGTATCTTTGCATTATTTTTTGCTATCTTTGCCACAGTATTCATGTCAAAACCACCACTGTGCCACCAATGAATTATAAATCTTTTTTTCCTACAACCATGCCTAGTGATAAGTTCTTTGTCTATATATAGTACATACATTCTCCTAAAGTCACTGCATACTGGTCTTGTACCAACTTATTTGAGGAACCATGGCAAATGCTTTTACAACATACAAATGACTGAAATTTCCTGCTTATAAAAACTGGTCGCATTCTGTATAAACAACTTAGAATATTATTACACATTTTGTATACAATTCTTTAGTATACCTTCAGGTAATTTAGACATGATTTATTTTATGTAGTTTTTAGAATTTATTCTGCATGTCTGACAGGGTCAGAGTGTTTTCCACTGACTTCCAAATTGTCTTGTTGTGATGATTGACAGCTTCATAAAGAATTTTTTATAAGGTGGTTCTAATCACTGGCATGGCCAGCTCTTGTGGTACACCACCATCAGGTTGTGAAAAGGGGTCCAAAGATGGAAAAACTGAACATTAGGGATAAAGATTGGGTTTGCCTTTGAACAACTAAGTCATAAGAGCCAATAATCCAAAGGAATGGATAACCCAGCCTCCCATATTGCCAGTGTATGATGTTGTTAGGTAGAGTTGACGATTCTGTATCGGGAGGGATAATGTTCTACTCTGTGGTATAATCTGCTTAATTTGGACATTGCTAAATATCCTCTATAACAGTGCTAATCTTCACTTGTCTCTAGTTTGACTTATTAAGCCTACAGATGGGCTTAAACAAGATTTTCCCCCAGTAGACTACAGTGGGGTCACCACAAAATGTGTAAACTTTGAACAAGATTTGAACAAGAAAATGTTTGCAATCTGAACTATGACTGATTCACTCATCCCTACTACTGAACATATTCAGATTTGTTTAGTTTTTTTTTTGTTTTTATCTTTACAGATTTACATATTGTAACTGGTCCTTACACTTTGCGAATTTTCCAATTTGGAACTGTGAGAAATTGTAGCATTAACCTCTAATCTACTAAAAATAAAATTACAGAATTTAACAGTAAACATGAAATGCTAAGCTCTTAATAACACTACATGCTATTTGTTTTTAATCTATTACTTTATCACTGGTAAAACTGAAGCTCACTCTGTATGGCCAACCTTCGCCTGCTGCTCATTCTCCCTCTCATGAGTATAGCAAGAGATTCATCACTAGGTCCCATGATGTCTTCTGTTTTGTCTTCCTGAAAAAGACAAATTGTGAGTTAACCGCTGCAGCAAATATATATATCTGAGGTATATTGTTTCCAGTATTCTCATACCTCAGATGTGTCATCTGTACTCAGAGACTCCAGGCTCTGTGTAGGCACCCATTGACTTCCTATGCTCCCCTGCTTCTCCGCAATCTAAAAAATGGAAAAACCTAAAAATGAATCCTTGATAATAAAATTAGTAGCATCTGAGTATACACATGTATGTTGTACAACATTAAAATACAAGCTTTGCAATATATATAATCACTTAATCAAAAACCTGCTTTTCATTAACATTATAGGGAGGCCCTGTTTGTATTTCTAGTAGCAACGCTTCCCTTCCATGGTCAAACTGTGCAGATGGCAAATACTTCCCTTAAGGCCTATGTTGATGGGCTTTTGGCTAGTGTTGATGGTATCAGATTGATATCAGATTAAGATGCTTCTGAAATCATTTACAGGTGCATTTGGCCTGAGGTCCACCTCCTTCTGATCTGTATTTGACTTGATTCACATAGGTTTTGAATTTCCAGAGATTTGTATGGGAATGAAAAAAAACTTTTTTAAATGAACAAAAACTCAGTGACCTACAGGTCCTTACACTGCCATTACTACATTTTTCAGACTATTTTTGCATGTCATTGTTATTCTTTGTAGTACATATGAAATAAGCCTAGATTAAAATAACCAGGTTGGATATAGGCTAGAAGAAAAATACAAGACATTTTTCTTATGTCATACTGTATGTAAAACTGCACAAACTCTTCAAATGGCACCCCTCTGCAGGATTATAAACTGTGAATCTCTTATACATCACAACAAATCATTGTTTTTATGTGAAGCCTCGCCAGGTGTTCCTTTAAGATGGGGGCCACACAGCTCAAGCCTCTTCCCGGTCTCACCACACCATGGGGAGAGTGCAAAATTTGATGCAGCTCTGCATGGTAGCCAATCAGCTTTAAACTTCAGCTTGTTCAGTTAAGCTTTGACATCAAAACCTGGAAGCTGATTAGTATCTCTCTCCAAATGTTGCACTCTCCAGTTTTAGTACATCAACCCCCATACATCTTGCTTGGCTGTTTGACTGACAGTCCAGGAGGTAGCTGAATTGTGATCAGTCAGCTTGAATTTTATTCTTGCCACTGGAAAGAGAGAGAAAGGAGAATTCAGAGACAGTGGGCTGGGGCAGGATAACATTGCTAATGGTGGAGCCTGCGTAAAGTATAGTGCAGGCTGCGAGCTGACAATAAAGGGAACCTCCAGATAACCTCCAGATAACTGTGGAGTAAGCTGAGCAGCCTGCAGAGAACCTGAAGTCTGCAGTGAGAGAGAGTTGTCATCTTTCAGCAGGAAAGAGAGACCCTGTGTAAGGGATTTCCGGCAAGAAGAATCGCGATCGGAAATGTGCGCAGGAATGCGCGATCGCGCACACGCACGTGCACACACACGGCAAAGATTGGCGCCAGATGGCCTATTTAAGGAGTGCCTCTGCTCATGTTCAGTGCTGACTGGTCTTCAGCTCCCCCGTGTCCTGCTTGTTCCTGTATGATTCCTTTGTTGCTGACCTGGCTTGTTCCTCACCTGACTCTGATTGCTCTCCTGATACTGGTTCCTGACTTCGGCTCTGCTCCTGACCTTGGCTTTTCCTTCTGATTCTGTACCGTGCTGCCCGACTGTTGATGACCCCGGCTATTCCATGACATTGCTCCTGTCTCTTGTCCTCACTACCTGCCTTGCTCTGGTGCACGCCTGGCAATCTGCAAAACCTGCTCTGCCTACTACTACTGTGCCAAGATCAGAGGATCATCAGCCTTCCAAGGTTTTTATCAGCAAGAGCTGCAAATAACAACTACTGGCACTCTTGTTCCCCTGGGTCCTAGACTCCCTCTGTTCCAACTCCAGGGCTGGTGACACAAGTGAGGCCAACCTCGTCATTTCAGTCTCCCATCAGGTACGTGACACCCTAGATGCCAGGAGGGGATCCAATAGGCACCAGAGAGAATTCCTGGGAGACACAGGTCAAGAAAGTGTGTATACAGCCTAGAGAGGGGAAACCAAGGCACCTCTTGCCCAACTCCCCAGGGACCTGCCACCAGCACAGGTACCAGCCAGAGAGGCAGTGCGGCCTACATCTCACAAATGTCATCATCATGGTCTACTCTTTATCTGCCTCCATTCAGCCTGCAAGTGATGCCATCAGAGAACAGAATGCAATTGTGAGGGCTTCAGCAATGTATTAGTGTGGTAGAAGGTCTTTGGCCACCCTTAAATTTATTAAACTTGTTGTCGTGGGGATTTGCCTTCAGCAGTGTTCTTCTTAAAGAGAACTACATTACCTTTCTTTGTGGATTACCCTGGCTATGTGATTTTAGGAACCCCCCTAGCAGACTTGTATGCTATTCCGCTGGCAAGTAGTTGGACAGGGCCTGTACTCAGTAGTTAGCGTGCACTGTCATCTGCACTGCTATTTTTATTGTTTTTTGCACCACGCTGCATTATAAGGGTATTTACTGCTGTTTGTAAAAAAAGAAGAAAATCTTTACGCTTAGCCCAATATTGTATATAATGAAAAAAATAAATAAAAAATGAATAAACGTAAAAGTGAACTGCTGCTACTACCTTCCTGAATACCAGAATAAATAATTTGAACTCATAAAAAAAGTGCGCTGTTCACTTTAAAAACGTGATAACTGAATAAAGGAATAAGTGCAAACTAAAAGTTCATATATCCTCAAATGATGATTAATCTGTATAAAATACAAAACTGTGCAACCTTAAAATACACATACCATCAAATCATTTGACCTTCCCTCCCCCTCCATCCTATCCCCTGCCACCCACAAACATCTTCAATCTCTCCCTCTCCTCCGCATTCTTTCCTTCCCCTTCTGCACACGATCATAAAACATCTCCCTGCTCCCTATTTACTCATCTATAACATCCTCGAGCGCCTATACAGTGCAATGCAGTGCAAAATAAACACATATATACAAGTCCCAAATCCAATGTGCGGAAAAAAGTGCTGCGTGCCTAACTAATCTTCCAATAAGGTGCTGCTGTGCTCAAAAGGTGCTCCTCTTACCGAACCAAATTGATCTCAAGCTATAGAGATCAAATGAGCAGATACTGTCCAAACTCCACACTGATACTCTCACTAACAAATCCAGGGAGGATGAATGGATCACTGTGTGTTCATACCAGGGACGGGCTTAACCACTTCATATGCAGTAATATTTGAAATGGTTTAGACAATAAAAAACTTCATAGTGCAACCCCGTTAAAAAACAAATGTTAATTATAGCCTAACCACTTCTCGTCCACCCTATAGCAGAACTGCTACAGGCTACAGGGCGGCACGGGTACGTGAAATCACGTGATTCATGCTTCCATGGTGATTGCGCTGGCTGGGGGGCGCGCCCCTGCCGACCTTCGGGTGCTGTGATTCGGTGCCCAAGCTCTATCACTCACGTGAAATGCTTCCATGGTGATTGCGGGCTGGGGGCGCGCGCGACCTGCCGACCTTCGGGTGGATTAATCATCTGATTTAGGCCAGTGATGTTCGGCCTGAATCGGATGATCGATCCCTGTCCTATCAGACATCATCCTGTACCTGTGTTTACACTTACACAGGTACTGGAAATGATGAAATCTTTTCTCTCTGGGAACATTCCGTCCCAGAGAGAGAAGGCAGACACACGTGCGTAAAACAGCACACTTACACAGTTAGATCACTTTTTAGTACACATTTAACCACCTGATCGCCTTCCCCAGTTAACCCCTTCACTGCCCTGTCACCAATGTCATTAGTACAATGTACACATTTTTTTACTGATCACTGTATTAGTGTCACCGGCAACTTCAGATAGCATTAGCGATTGTTAGCGTTCCTCCCAGATAGCGTCAGATTGCCTGCCATTACATCGTCATCACATTTAACCCTTTGATTACCAGGAACATGCTCACATACACAATAAACCTCCATTGCTAGTATAGTGTCTGAACGGATCAATATCTTTGATCAGATCAGCACTATACCAGCTTTCACATTAGTATAGTGTCCTAAAAAACGCAGCGTTAGCGGGATCAGCCCCGGCATCTGCCAGCACCTGCGTTTAGCCCCTATGCTTACCCCCCCTCCCCCCCTCTCCCCCAGCAAGTGCAGTGTCAATAGATCACTGTCACTTGATATATTGCACATACAAAACCGCAGTGTTTGCAGATTTAGGCCTGATCTCTATTAGCACTTGCAGGTAAATATTTTTGTAGTGGTTCAAGCAGTCACTGACAGCCAGGTGCTCTTTTTCCCGTGAGTTACACTAGTTACCTATAAATGTAGTGGCCAAAATGTCCAATGAAAGGTACTCTAGTGAAGAGGCCTACAGGCTTCCCTCAACGGCTTGTAAATACTTGTCTTAGAAAGGGGGAAAAAGCCTGCTTGAGAAACGAAGAATTGCTCGCAGAGAAGTGGAAGGACAAAAGGGATGTTTTCATCCTGCCTTCCATTCACGCAGACACGACTATCCAAATTTTCACGGCAGCTGGTGTTGTTGAGAAGCCCCTCTGTGTCCAGGATTATAACCTTAACATGGGAGGGGTGGACTTCAACAACCAGATGATGAAGCCGTACTTAGTTTCCCGAAAAGCTGGGGATATTTACATTCCCTTTGATAGCAATAAATGTGATAAAAAAAAGGAAAGGGACAGTTTAAATAAATAATTTAAACAAATCAAAATAACTGAAAAAATAAGCACCCTCGCCCGCCCCCCCCCCCCCCCCCCGCGTGCACCTGTGTGCGCAAGCATTGGCCCCTTGCCGGTATGTAAACCATGCATGTGAGGTATCACCATGAACATCTGATCAAGAGCAGTAATTCTAGCACTGTAAATCTAAAATTGTAGCTTGTAAAGGCTTTTAAAATGTCACCTATGGATATTAAAAATGTATGCAGCTTGACCCCATTGCACAGGGTGTGTGCAGTTTTAAAGCATGTCATGTTTGGTATCTATTTACTCGGCATACCATCATCTTTTATATACTATCAAATAATTGGCCAATATATTGTGCTCTTGTGCATTAAAAGTAAAAAAAGTGTATATTTTTTTTTTAAAAAAAATTGCGTTTGAAAAATCGCTGCACAAGTACTGTGACATAAAAAATTGCAGCACCCACCATTTTATTTAATAGGGTGTCTGCTTTAAAAATATATAATATTTGGGGGTTCAAAGTAATTTCCTAGCAGGAAATACTGATTTTTGAACAAAAATACTGATGTGAACAAAAAGTGTCAGAAAAGGCTTGGTCTTCAGGTGGTTAGAAGAGTGAGTCATATGTGGCATAAACTTCTAATGTGGAGCATAAAATGCCCCCCCCCCCCCCACAACTGACCCCTTTTTGGAAAATAGACACCCTACTATTTGCTGAGAGGCATGTTTTTACCACAAGTTTTTGAAAAATGACAAAAAAAAAAATTTTTTTTTACACAAAATTGTCACTTAAATGATTTATTGCTCACACATGCCATAGGTATATGTAGAAGCACTCCTCAAAATACATTCTGTTACTTCTCCCGAGTATGGGGGTACCACATGTGAGAGACTTTTGCAGTCTAGCCAAGTACAGGACCCCAAAATCCAATAAGCACCTTCACACTTTTAAAGGGCTTTATTTCTTCATTACACTACCTTACTACCTACCACAGTTTCGGAGACCCTGAAATGTCAGGATAGCACCAACCCCCCCCCCCCCCACGAAATGACCCCTTTTTGGAAATTAGACACCCCAAGGAATTTGATAAGCATGGTGAGTATTTTGCAGATCTCGTTTGTTGCCACAAGCATTTGGAAAATGAAGAAAGAAAACAAAAACATATTTTTTATTTTTTTATTTTTCAAAACCTTGTGAGAAAAAAATGAGAACTACAAAACACTCACCATGCCTCTTTTTAAATTTCTTGGGGTGTCTACTTTCCAAAAAGGGGTAATTGGGGGGGGGGGTTTGGTGCTATCCTAGCATTTCAGGGCCTCCGCAACTGTGATAGGTAGTGAGGAAGTGAAATGAGGAAGTTATGCACCTTCAGGCTTTCAAAGTGGTCATTGGATTTCAGGCTCCTGTATGTGGCTAGGCTCCCAAAAAGTCTCACACATGTGGTATCCCCATACTCGGTAGAAGTAGCAGAATGTATTTTGGGGTGAAATTCCACATATACCCATGGCATGTGTGAGCAATATATCATTTAAGTGACAACTTTGTGTGAAAAAGAAAATGTTTTTGTCATTTTCCAAAAACTTGTAGAAAAAAAAATCTTCCATGGAATCAACATGCCTCTCAGCAGATAGCTTAGGGTGTACTTTCTGAAAAGGGTGTTTGTACTGTCCTGGTATTTTAGCATCTCAAGAAATGTGATAGAAATATCAGAAAGTAAAAGCTGTGTAAATTCCAGTATGTATACCATAGTTTGTAGATCCTATAACTTTCACACAAACCAATTGGATACCTGAGCAGAAGGATTTATGGAAGACTCCTCGATACAGAACTTTGGCTGCTTTACTGAAGAATCTGGTGAGTTGGATGGAAAGCAAGAAGGTTGGAGCAGTGGTACAGCTGGCAGATGATAGCCGTTTAGGTGTAAAACCCTAAAGACAAGGAATGGCTGAGTGGTCAAATTACATCCTATTCCACATCATGGTAAATGAAACAAGAGCTTTCCTAAAAATGTATACATCACATATACTTATATACTATGTATATACACCGTGTTCCAAATTATTATGCAAATGATATTTTTCTCATTTACCTAAATAATTGATGTAAATAACAGTCAACATAATTCTCATGTTATCAACTATTAAGAGTACAATTAAAATTTTATTGAACAAACCTCCTAATGATAACAGTATTTTTTTTAAACATAAATTCTTACAATGCACTGTTCCAGATTATTACGCACAGTAAGTTTCAAAACACTTTATAGGTTGAAAAGAACTGAAAATTGTCATTTGTTGTGTTTGCAGCATAATTACTGAAATCAAAAGCTATTTCAATCAAACTTTTAACAACATTTTTTAACTTTTTAAAGCATTTTAACAGGTCACATTACATTGTAAAATAGGACCCCTTATTTGATAGCAGCTTTACAAGTCTTGCATCCATTGAACTTGTGAGTTTTTGGACAGTTTCTGCTTGAATTTGTTTGCAAGATGTCAGAATAGCCTCCCAGAGCTGCTGTTAGGATGTAAACTGCCTCCCACCCTCATAGATCTTTTGCTTGAGGATGCTCCAAAGGTTCTCAATAGGATTGAGGTCACGGGAGGATGGAGGCCACACCATGACTTTCTCTCCTTTTATCCCCATGGCAGCCATTGATGCAGAGGTATTCTTTGCAGCATGAGAAGGTGCATTGTCATGCATGAAGATGATTTTATTACGGAAAGCATAGTTATTTCTTCCTTCTGTACCAGGGAAGAAAGTGGTCAGTCATAAACTCCACATACTTTTCAGAGGTCATCTTTACACCTTTGGGGACCCTAAAAGGGCCGACCAGCTCTGTTCCCATGATTCGAGCCCAAAACATGACTCCACCACCACCGCCTTGCTGATGTCGCTGCCTTGTTGGAACAGGGTGGCCGTCCACCAACCATCCACTACTCTATCCATCTGGACCATCCAGGGTTGCACGGCACTCATCAGTGAACAGGACTGTTTGAAAATTAGTCTTCATGTATTTTTCTGCCCAATGCGGTCGTTTCTGCTTGTGAGCATTGGTTAGTGGTGGCCGAATAGAAGGTTTATGCACAGTTGCAAGACTCTGGAGGACCCTACACCTTGATGTCCGTGGGACTCCAGAGGCACCAGCAGCTTCAAAAATCTGTTTGCTGCTATGTAATGGTATTTTAGCAGCTGCTTTCTTGATCCGATGCATGGATCTGGCAGAAATCTTCCTCAATGTGCCTTTATCTGCACGAACCCGTCTCTGCTCTGAATCAGCCACAAATCTCTTAATAGTGCGACTATCACGCTTACGTTTCCGTGAAATATCTAATGTTTTCATACCTTTTCCAAGGCATTGAACTATTTCACTCTTTTCGGCAGCAGAGAGATCCTTTTTCTTCCCCATATTGCTTGAAAATGGTGCTCTGCTTAATAATGTTGAACACCCTCCTTTAGTAGTTTTTCCTTAAATTGGGCTCACCTGCCAATCTAATTTTGTCCGAGATTGTTTTCAGTGATCAAAAGAGCCCTGAGATACAATGCCATCCATGAGTTAAACTGAAAAACAAAATATTTAATCTTTGTGACACTTAAAAAAAAATTTGCATAATAATTTGGAACAGGGTGTGTATATATATATATATGTATATATATATATATATATAATATATATATTATATACTATACTTATATGCATACAGTGTAAATTGTGTTCCTCCCTTTGTTAGGAACAAAATTCTAGACAGCAGACAGGATTTCCCATAGTTCTCATCCTTTCACTAATGCTCCCTGTTTCTTTAGGAAATTAGCAATTAATTTAAGGTCAAATCACAGTAGACTATCAAATTAATTGTGACATCCAAAGCAATATGCTTCCTGGGCCAGAAGCCTTTAAAGTATATTCAGAGAAGCACCATAAGAAAGTGGCTGTTGGCCATCTGCTCTCCAATCTAACCTGCAATCACAGCACCAGGTAGAAGTCTTTCATTGCTAACTTAGTTTGCAACACTGACAGATTAACAACGTTAAGCCTTTTTAAATGGCTTCATCCCTTAGGTACACTATACAAAAGGTATGAAAATACAGTGATGTAACCACAGGCAGCCAGTAAAGGATGCACTCCCTCTTTTTTTATTGTCCAATTTTTCTTCCTTCTTTCCCATCTTCTTCTATCCTTTTATCCTCCTTGATCCTCCTTGGGTATTTCTGCTTACTGATTTACATGGGAGGTAATGCACCTGGAGTGTTTTATTTTTACAAAATGAAAGTGTCTGTCCTCTTTTTTTTCTAACAGCAATTTCTATACAAATCAGTACGTAAAAATGTGTTTTGTTTTTCTTGGATAGTTCTTACACAATTTTAGTCTATTGTTACATCATTACATCCTGTTCATAAAGCCACTCTAATGTTCTACAAAGAGAATATAGAACAGAGAATTGAGCAAACATCAGGCTGCAACACATGTTCCACTTAGCCTATGGCAGTGATATTCTGCAATAGGTAGGTTGACTAGTGAATGTTTAAAATTGTATGTATTTATGTTGACCCTTTGGGTCCAACTGCTCCAGCCTATAAATACGCTGCTCATAAAAAGTAAAAGAACACTTTTTAATCAGAGTATAGCATCAAGTCAGTTAAACTCCTAGGATATTGATCTGGTCAGTTAAGTAGCAGAGGGGGTTGTTAATCAGTTTCAGCTGCATTGCTGTTAATGAAAGTAACAACAGGTGCACTAGATGGGCAATAATGGGAGGACCCCCAAAACAGGGATGGTTTTACAGGTGGAGGCCACTGACATCTGATTTCCTACTCATCTTTTTTGACTGTTGTTCACTAGATTTTCATTTGGCTAGAGTCAGTGTCACTACTGGTAGCATGAAGCGATACCTGGACCCTACAGAGATTGCACAGCCAGTCCAACTCCTCCAAGATGTCACATCAATACCTGCCATTGCCAGAAGGTTTGCTGTGTCTCCCAGAACAATCTTGCCAGGGATTGCGGGGCTCGCTCCGGCACACGGGTCTGCGCATGCGCGCAGATTGCCTAGGTGCACCAATGTGCAGGCACTAGGACCTGGGCACCCGCGGCGGCAATTGCAGCCACGCATGCGCGTGCACGCACCTGGCATCAATGACAGTGCAGGGTGCGCTATTTAAACTAGCCAGGCTGTGATCAGATTGCTGCAATGTCTAGTTCCTGTGTATCTGTTTCTGAAGTGAAGTTCCTAGTTGCCGACCCTGCCTGTCCTGATTCCTGTTGACCGTCTCCTGCTCTGATCCCTGGCTCGTCCCTGACTACTCCTCTGCCTACCCCTATGTTGTTGGACCTCCTGTTGCTGAACCTAGGCTCGTGACCCGTTTACTCTTCGCCTACTGCTCTGTACCGATCTGCCTCCACCATTACCGACCCGGCTTACCTGACGCATACTTCTGACACATACTTCTGACTGTCATCTATCCATCCCGCATGGGTCCAGGACCTGTTAGCCTCTTCACGTCAGGCTCACCTCTGTCACATACCCTCAGCAGGACCCCTCTACCACAGTTGGGTGCACTCAGGGACAGTGACCTGGTCTCAGTCTTGCGCCAAGTCCATCCCCACCATCAGGGGCTCTGGTGAAAAGGCAGACTGGGGTTTAGACTCCGCGTCCTGGGGAATCTCGTTCTGTGGGTCACTAGAGATCCCGCGGGCGGTGCATGACAAATCTCAAGAGCATGGAGAAGATTCCAGGAGACAGGCTGTTACTCTAGGAGAGCTATACAGGGTCGTAGAAGGTCCTTAACCCTTCAGCAGGACCGGTATTTGCTCCTTTGTGCAAGGAGGAACAGGATGAGCACTGCCAGAGCCCTACAAATTGCCCTCCAGCAAGCCACTGGTGTGAATGTGTCTGACCAAACAATCAGAAACAAACTTAATGAGAGTGGCCTGAGGGCCTGACGTCCTCTAGTGGGCCTTTTGCTCACTGCCCAAAACCATAGAGCTCGACTGCCATTTGCCATTGAACACCAGAATTGCCAGGTCCACTGGCGCCCTATGCTGTTCACAGATGGGAGCAGAGTCACCCTGAGCACATGTGACAGAGGTGAGAAGCCGTGAAGAACATTATGCTGCCTGTAACATCGTTCAGCATGACCGTGTTGGTGGTGGGTCAATGATGGTCTGGGGAGGCATATCCATGGAGGGACGCACAGACCTCTACAGGCTAGACAATGGCACTCTGACTGTCATTAGGTACCGGGATGAAGTCCTTGGACCCATTGTCAGACCCTACACTGGTGCAGTGGGTCCTGGGTTCCTCCTAGTGCATGACAATGCCTGGCATCATGTGGCGAGAGTATGCAGGCAGTTCCTGGAGGATGATGGAATTGAACCACTGAATGTCCCCCACTCTTGTCTGACCTAAATCCAATAATACACCTCTGAAACAGAGGCGGACTGACCATTTGGAAACTCGGGCACTGCCCGAGGGCCCAGGGTCAGTAGGGGGCCCCATAAGATGCCCCTGGTACCTTTTTCATGTTTTGAGTTTGGGCAAGGACACAGGGGCCCCATGATCCCCTATTGCCCGGGGGCCCCATGAGTTGTCAGTCTGCCCCTGCTCTGAAATATCATGTTTCGGTCCATCCGACGCTGCCAGGTTGTACCTCAGACTGTCCAGGAGCTCAATAATGCCCTGGTCCAGATCTGGGAGGAAATACCCCAGGAAACCATTCATTGTCTCATTAGGTGCATGCCCCGACGTTGTCAGGCATGTCAAAAGATGGGGCTTACATCCTTACATTCTTAACACATTACCCAGTCCATATCATTATAGATATCCAGCATGATATTTTTCCACATTGAGATCTGATGTGTTTTCAAAGTGTTCCATTAATTTTTTTAAGCAGTGTATATGCCTGCTATCAGTTACATAAACAGACTTTATTCTTTCAAGGCAAAAGATTGTTCAGAAATATTTCATTTACCCTGATGGAATAGGTACTCTAGGCTCAGTTTACTAGTCCTTTATCTGTGTATGAGCTTTTTTTGTTCAGGTTTTAATGATTATTTCTTGTAGTATAGTTTAAAAAAAAAAAAAATCAAAGGACAAATTTTGTTTGCCTTGAATAAAACAATTGCTTTTCCTTTTCTCTGTTTTTTTTTGTACAAGAGACTCGCCATCTATCATAAAGGTTAAAATTAAGAACAGTCTTTAAACTAAGGCAACATACTATACCTGTGCGAAGAAGTCACTCGCAAGGATGTCCTCTATGCCAGGCCTGTTAGTGGGACAGTTCGCAAGTATAGAAATAATCAGTCTTCTGCCATTGAGTGATATGTATGAAGGTACAGGGTAGAAGCCTTCTCTTATGAAGTATTGCATCTCTTTCTGTGAATGAGCTCTGAAGGGGGAATACCCAGTCAGCAGCGTATACCTAGATCATTGGTGAAAACAAATGGAACTGTAAATCCTTACTAAAACCTTTCAGAGATGAGCGAATTATTCAAAAATTCGATTCGACTGATTCGGCGAATTCGTGGAATAAATTCGATTCGAGTCGAATATATTCGCTGCGAATTTAACTTATAAAAAGGGTGTTTCTAGGCTTCAGAGAGCCTTTATAATAGTGCAGAACACTGTACCTTTAATTTAAATGCCTTGGAGTCTGCTGGGGAAGAGAAATAATACTGTCAGTCAGTATGACATGCAGATGAGTGCCGTCGATCTTAGAATCACCGCACACTTCACTCATTTGGGCAGTCACGGGGCCAAAACCAGAGTGTGGAGCCACAGTGTGGCGGTGGAGGCAGCAGCAATGGGAGGCCATACAGCACCCTATGAAAAAATGGAACCCACCAGCAGTGTGAGGAGACCTGAAATTGGCACATGGCAGAGTGTGGCGATGGAGACAGCAGCAATGGGAGGCCGTACAGGGACCCATGACACACTCTGGACCTGGCAGCAGCATGAGGAGGCGGTACAGGGGCCCATGACAGATTACGGGCCTGGCAGCAGCATGAGGAGTCGGTACGGGGGCCCATGGCAGATTACGGGCCTGGCAGCAGCAATGGGAGGCCCGTAATCTGCCAGCACCCTATGACAAAATGGAACCCACCAGCAGTGTGAGGAGACCTGAAAGTGGCACATGGCAGAGTGTGGCGATGGAGACAGCAGCAATGGGAGGCCGTACAGGGACCCATGACACACTCTGGACCTGGCAGCAGCATGAGGAGGCGGTACAGGGGCCCATGACAGATTACGGGCCTGGCAGCAGCAATGGGAGGCCCGTAATCTGCCAGCACCCTATGACAAAATGGAACCCACCAGCAGTGTGAGGAGACCTGAAAGTGGCACATGGCAGAGTGTGGCGATGGAGACAGCAGCAATGGGAGGCCGTACAGGGACCCATGACACACACTGGACCTGGCAGCAGCATGAGGAGCGGTACAGGGGCCCATGACAGATTACGGGCCTGGCAGCAGCAATGGGAGGCCCGTAATCTGCCAGCACCCTATGACAAAATGGAACCCACCAGCAGTGTGAGGAGACCTAAAAGTGGCACATGGCAGAGTGTGGCGAATGAGACAGCAGCAATGGGAGGCCGTACAGGGACCCATGACACACTCTGGACCTGGCAGCAGCATGAGGAGGCGGTACAGGGGCCCATGACAGATTACGGGCCTGGCAGCAGCATGAGGAGTCGGTACGGGGGCCCATGGCAGATTACGGGCCTGGCAGCAGCAATGGGAGGCCCGTAATCTGCCAGCACCCTATGACAAAATGGAACCCACCAGCAGTGTGAGGAGACCTGAAAGTGGCACATGGCAGAGTGTGGCGATGGAGACAGCAGCAATGGGAGGCCGTACAGGGACCCATGACACACTCTGGACCTGGCAGCAGCATGAGGAGGCGGTACGGGGGCCCATGACAGATTACGGGCCTGGCAGCAGCAATGGGAGGCCCGTAATCTGCCAGCACCCTATGACAAAATGGAACCCACCAGCAGTGTGAGGAGACCTGAAAGTGGCACATGGCAGAGTGTGGCGATGGAGACAGCAGCAATGGGAGGCCGTACAGGGACCCATGACACACTCTGGACCTGGCAGCAGCATGAGGAGGCGGTAATGGGGGCCCATGGCAGATTACGGGCCTGGCAGCAGCAATGGGAGGCCCGTAATCTGCCAGCACCCTATGACAAAATGGAACCCACCAGCAGTGTGAGGAGACCTGAAAGTGGCACATGGCAGAGTGTGGCGATGGAGACAGCAGCAATGGGAGGCCGTACAGGGACCCATGACACACTCTGGACCTGGCAGCAGCATGAGGAGGCGGTACAGGGGCCCATGACAGATTACGGGCCTGGCAGCAGCATGAGGAGTCGGTACGGGGGCCCATGGCAGATTACGGGCCTGGCAGCAGCAATGGGAGGCCCGTAATCTGCCAGCACCCTATGACAAAATGGAACCCACCAGCAGTGTGAGGAGACCTGAAAGTGGCACATGGCAGAGTGTGGCGATGGAGACAGCAGCAATGGGAGGCCGTACAGGGACCCATGACACACTCTGGACCTGGCAGCAGCATGAGGAGGCGGTACAGGGGCCCATGACAGATTACGGGCCTGGCAGCAGCAATGGGAGGCCCGTAATCTGCCAGCACCCTATGACAAAATGGAACCCACCAGCAGTGTGAGGAGACCTGAAAGTGGCACATGGCAGAGTGTGGCGATGGAGACAGCAGCAATGGGAGGCCGTACAGGGACCCATGACACACTCTGGACCTGGCAGCAGCATGAGGGCGGTACAGGGGCCCATGACAGATTAAGGGCCTGGCAGCAGCATGAGGAGTCGGTACGGGGGCCCATGGCAGATTACGGGCCTGGCAGCAGCAATGGGAGGCCCGTAATCTGCCAGCACCCTATGACAAAATGGAACCCACCAGCAGTGTGAGGGAGACCTGAAAGTGGCACATGGCAGAGTGTGGCGATGGACAGCACAGCAATGGGAGGCCGTACAGGGACCCATGACACACTCTGGACCTGGCAGCAGCATGAGGAGGCGGTACAGGGGCCCATGACAGATTACGGGCCTGGCAGCAGCAATGGGAGGCCCGTAATCTGCCAGCACCCTATGACAAAATGGAACCCACCAGCAGTGTGAGGAGACCTGAAAGTGGCACATGGCAGAGTGTGTGGCGATGGAGACAGCAGCAATGGGAGGCCGTACAGGGACCCATGACACACTCTGGACCGGCAGCAGCATGAGGAGGCGGTACAGGGGCCCATGACAGATTACGGGCCTGGCAGCAGCAATGGGAGGCCCGTAATCTGCCAGCACCCTATGACAAAATGGAACCCACCAGCAGTGTGAGGAGACCTGAAAGTGGCACATGGCAGAGTGTGGCGATGGAGACAGCAGCAATGGGAGGCCGTACAGGGACCCATGACACACTCTGGACCTGGCAGCAGCATGAGGAGGCGGTACAGGGGCCCATGACAGATTACGGGCCTGGCAGCAGCAATGGGAGGCCCGTAATCTGCCAGCACCCTATGACAAAATGGAACCCACCAGCAGTGTGAGGAGACCTGAAAGTGGCACATGGCAGAGTGTGGCGATGGAGACAGCAGCAATGGAGGCCGTACAGGGACCCATGACACACTCTGGACCTGGCAGCAGCATGAGGAGGCGGTACAGGGGCCCATGACAGATTACGGGCCTGGCAGCAGCAATGGGAGGCCCGTAGGCCCGTAATCTGCCAGCACCCTATGACAAAATGGAACCCACCAGCAGTGTGAGGAGACCTGAAAGTGGCACATGGCAGAGTGTGGCGATGGAGACAGCAGCAATGGGAGGCCGTACAGGGACCCATGACACACTCTGGATCTGGCAGCAGCATGAGGAGGCGGTACAGGGGCCCATGACAGATTACGGGCCTGGCAGCAGCAATGGGAGGCCCGTAATCTGCCAGCACCCTATGACAAAATGGAACCCACCAGCAGTGTGAGGAGACCTGAAAGTGGCACATGGCAGAGTGTGGCGATGGAGACAGCAGCAATGGGAGGCCGTACAGGGACCCATGACACACTCTGGACCTGGAAGCAGCAAGAGGAGGCGGTACAGGGGCCCATGGCAGAGTGGCGAAGCGTAAGCAGCTTAAATTGAAGGCCATACAGAGGCCTATGTTAAAAATAATAACATGTTTGGGGCATGATTCATGGCGGATTTAGTCAGTTGTGTCAGGAACTGGTGGTTTGAAATCCAGACTAATCCACGCCTGATTCATTTTCACAAACGTGAGTCTCTCCACACTTTGGGTGGACAGTCGTGTCCTCCGCGGAGTTACAATACCTCCTGCCGCACTAACACGCGCTCCGATGCCACGCTACAGGCCGGGCATGACAGCCTTTCAAGGGCAAATTCAGCTAGTTGGGGCCAAAGGTCAAGTTTCGTTGCCCAGTAGTCAAGGGGATTGTCTACCTCGGTTGGCAGGGTGCTGTCCAAGTAGGCCCAAGCCTGTTGTTTGAGGTCCTGCTCCAGGTCCACCTGATGCTGCTGCTGCTGCTGCGGCTGGTTAGTAGTTTCCTCACTGCGCTGGTGAAGAAAGCTACTCATCATCGACTGCAGACTGAGGCAGCCGCTGCTGGTAGAGCTGCCACTGCTCCTACCACCCCACCCCTCCCCTGCTGCCATGGCAGCGGAACGCGAGCGCACAGGGCCCACAGTGTCTGAGGATGGACGTTGGCGCAGAAAGGCAGAGACCAACTGACTACATAGGTGGTTTTTATAGTACCTGGCCTCCCTCTCAGCAGGTGTGAAAAAGGCCACCATTTTTGAACGGTAGCGAGGGTCCAACAAGGTGGACACCCAAAAGTCATCCCTCTGTATGATGGTTATTATTCGGCTGTCGCTACGCAAGCAACCGAGCATGCTATGGGCCATTTGTGCCAAGGAATGCGAGGGACTCCCTGCCTCCATCTCCACAGCATACTGCCACGGTGCGTCTGGGTCCTCTGTCTCCTCCTCCTCCTCCTCTACCAGATGCTCCTGCTCCTCCACTCCTGTCCGCTGAGTGGAAAAACCACCCATTTCACTCAATAATTTCCTGAGCACCAATGTCCTCCTCTACCTCCTCCTCTTCTTCCTGTCCTGCCCCCACAGGGGTCATGTGGCGTTGAGATCTGTGCGCCACGTCTACCGCACCCTGACCAGCCATGTTAACAGCATTTGTTCCAGGACGTGCAACAGAGGAATGACGTCTTTCATCCCATAGTCCTGCCGACTCACGAATAGCGTGGCCTCCTCAAAGGGCCTGAGCAAGCGGCAGGTGTCACGCATGAGCTGCCAATGGCTGACATCTAAGTTACACAGGGGAGTACCTTTATCCGCTTGTAACATCAGGAAATCGGTGATGGCCTTTCGCTGTTCGTAAAGGCGGTCTAACATATGTAGGGTTGAATTCCACCTTGTTGCAACGTCGCAGATCAGGCGATGCTGTGGAATTCCGTTCTGCCGCTGCAGCTCAAGGAGGGTGTGTTTTGCGGTGTAGGAATGGCTGAAATGCATGCAAAGTTTACGTGACATTTTAAGGATGTCTTGCAGTGGGATGGTGGATTTTAGGAACCGCTTGACAACCAGATTGAACACGTGAGCCATGCATGGCGCATGGCACAACCTTCCTTGACGCAGAGCAGACACCATGTTCTTTCCGTTGTCGGTCAACATGGTTCCGATTTTCAGTTTGCGCGGAGACAGCCATCTGTCGATTTCTCTGTTCATTACACTCAGAAGTTCCTCCCCTGTGTGACTACGTTCGCCAAGGCATACCAGGTGCAGCACAGCGTGACACCGTTGCGCCCTGCACATGTGATATGCCGGTCGGGTAATGGGACTTGGCACGGGGGTGGCGGCTGAGGACACGGCGGAAGAAGAGGTGGTAGGAGAGGCGGACATCTTTGCTGGACCAAGGACGTGCAAACGTGGAGGCAAAAGCGGCGTGACCTGTCCAAGTTGCTGGTGCGCTGCTGTGCCGGCACCACGTTCACCCAGTGGGCCGTAAATGACATGTACTGTCCCTGACCGTAGTTACAGCTCCACACGTCGGCGCTGCCGTGCACTTTGGCAGAGACCGACATGCTCAAAGACTGGCCCACCATCTCTTCTACATGTGAATGCAGGGCTGGCACTGCCTTTTTGGCGAAGAAATGCCGGCTTGGCACTCTCCACCGCGGCTCGGCACAAGCCATCATTTCTCGGA